CCCATACATGCCATCAGGTACTTTTCATCCCCCAAGCCCGTGGCAACCACTAATTTACTTTGTCCCTATGGACTACATATTTCATAAATGGAATCATACAGTATGTAACCTTTTCCCATAAGTTTCTCTCACTTAACATAAATGGATAAACTTTATCCATTCTGTAGCATAAATAAGTACTTCAGTCTTTCACAGGGTAGGATAATATTTGATATTTTTGATACATTGTGTTTGTAAACTTACTTGTCAGCTAATGGGTATTTGGGTGTTTTCATAGGATTTTTGATGTGGTAAAATTTTAATCATTTCATATGCTAACTTAAGAAATTGAGACCCAGTGATTCAATGAGAACCATCTCTGGTTACAAAGACGTAAGAATCATACACTTAAAATGACGAAGAAAAAGATCCCTGGTATACGTGAGTCTAACAGTACAATGCAAGATTGGCCAAGACAGAATCTAGTGAAAATCAGGTAGATTAGGAAAAATGTCACTGAGTCAAAGAGTTTAAGATCAACAGTTTGAAATTTTTTTAAAAAAAGAAAGAAATGAGAACAATGCAGAAAGAAAAACTTAAAATCAAAGAAAGAAACATGGAAAGTACGGCAAAAGCTCCCACTTACACGTGGGAGCACTTCACAAGCTGCTTGACTAAATGGCACAAAATTTTAATTCCATGAAAGGAAAAAGCTTCAATTCCCAATCCCTGGCTATTTCCAGAATGACACGTTATTCATAAATCCCCTAATGTGTACTGTTAATTTTTACATTCAAAGTAACATAACAAAAAAGAATATTAAAGCCTTCCTATCAACTCTACAGGAATTCTTTCCACCACATTATTTTTCTTCAACAAGAACAAAGACAGCTGAACACCGGCAAAATGACTAACAGTAAATGCTCCATAAGATTTGATTAATGAAGTTGAAGACAATAACAGGTCTTTTAATGTTTATTTATTTGAAAGTCACAGGGTCAAAGGGAGAGGGAGGCAATCTTCCATCTGCTAGTTCACTTCCCAAATGTCGGCAACAGCACAAGCTGGAGCAAGCCAGTCAGGAGCAAGAAACTCCATCCGGCAAAATGACTAACGGTAAATGCTCCGTAAGTATTTGATTAATGAAGTTGAATGACATGAGTGACATGCGCCCAAGCACTTAGCTCATCACCTGCCACATTCCCAGGTGCACGAGCAGGAAGCTGGATCAGAAGTGAACCGGAAGAGACTAACAGGCACCACTCCAATAATGAATGCTAGCACAACAAGTGGCAACTCAACAATATTTGCCCCCAGTAGCAGATCTTTGTATCTCTTCCCAACTTAATCTTTCACTAAACATAAATTTAAACCCTTACATCCAAATCTATAGCCTTGTCAAAAAAAAAAAAAAAATAGCAGAACGTGAAAGGCAACAGATAGTCAACTAAACATTTCTAGGAAGAAAACATTCAGAAGCCGGCACCATGACTCAACAGGCTAATCCTCTACCTTCAAGTCCTGGATTCCATATGGGACTGGTTTTCTACTATCCAGTTCCCTGCTTATGGCCGGGGAAAGCAGCAGAGGATGGCTGAAACCCTTGGGACGATATATCCATGGGGGAGATTCAGAAGAAACTCCTAGTTCCTGGCTTCCAATCTCCTCAGCTCTGACCATTGTGGCAATTTGGGGAGTGAACCAGTAGGTGGAAGATCTTTCTACCTCTCCTTCTCTCTGTAAATCTGCCTTTTAAATAAAAATAAGTAACTTCTTAAAAAAAAAAGTCACTCTCCTTATACAAAAGTTGTGTAAAATTGAAATGTCAATGAAGTAATCACAGGATATGGCTAAGAACTTGCATTTTCTAATCATATCGGTCACTCAATACCACGTCAATTAACTCCATAAGTTTGTAAACCATTGTTGATGTTATGTTGCAGCTTTTAATGGGTCCGGACGATATTCTGCCAGCTCTGCCTTCAGACCAGAGAAGGTCTGCCCAAGAAACTGTCGAATTTATCTGGACAAAAAGATACTGGACACTATGCAAAGCACATGCTTGCAATGAAAGAATTATGGCTGGATTTGAATTGTAATACTGCAATAAGGTGGAGGAATCCACCATGAGGGGTGGGTACGGAAAGGGGTTGGGGGAATCCCAGAGCCTATGAAACTGTGTCATAAAATCAAATGTAATAAAAAAAAAAAGTCACCTGACACATATTCAAAAAACAGGGGCACCCAGTGTGGTAGCCTAGTGGCTAAAGTCCTTGCCTTGTACATGCCAGGATTCCACATGGGCGCCGATTCGTATCCCAGCGGCCCTGCTTCCCATCCAGCTCCCTGCTTATGGCCTAAGAAAGCAGTCCAAGATGGCCCAAGGCCTTGGGACTCTGAACCCAAGTGGGAAGACCTGGAAGAAAGTCCAGGTTCCTGGCTTCAGATCAGTTCATCTCCAGTTTTGCAGCCACTTGGGGAGTGAATCAGCATAAAGATCATCCTCTCTGTCTCTTCTCTATATATATCTGCCTTTCCAATAAAAATAAAACTTAAAAAAAAAAAAGTCAACTGGACCTGGTGCAGTAGCCTGAGAGTGAACTAGCAGACAGAAGATCTTATTCTCTGTCTCCCCTCCTCTCTGTAAATCTGCCTTTCCAATAAAAATAAATAAATCTTTTTTTAAAAAAAAAGTCAACTGGGCCTGGCGCAATGGAGCAGTGGTTAAGGTCCTTGCCTTGCACTCCCAGGATCCCATATGGGCGCCGGTTCTATACTGGCAGCCCCGCTTCCCATCCAGCTCCCTGCCTGTGGTCCGGGAAAGTGGTTGAGGACGGCCCAAAGCTTTGGGACCCTGCACCCGCGTGGGAGACCCGGAAGAGGCTCCTGGCTTCGGATCGGCATAGCATCGCCATTGCGCTCACTTGGGGAGTGAATCATCGGACGGAAGATCTTCCTCTCTGTCTCTCCTCTCTGTATATCCGCCTTTCCAATAAAATAAATCTTTAAAAAAAGTCAACTGACACATCTCCCAACAACAAAGGCTAGAACAACTGAATGAGAAAATAAATGACAATTGGATGCTCCTTAGCGCTGGGGTAACATTCCCACACACAAAATCATTAAGTCAGAAAGACACGTAACATAAGGAAGCCCCTGCATAGCACACCTTCACAACATTCTAGAGCGCAGAGCACCATCTCGCCTTCTGCAGCCCGGAACCAGCTGGCAGCTGGGGTACCCGATGCTGTTCATACCGGCAGAGTGTCTGCCTCCCATCACTGGCCACAAGTTCCAAACTCCAGCCGTAAAGTAAAAATCATTCCTACAGAGTGCTTTAATTATTCTTGTACCATCATAATGTCAGAAAATCCCACAGTAAACCAAAGACTGTATCTGAAATATAATACTTAAAATTCCATACTGACATAAATAATTGGACAAAAACTAATTGGAGGATAAAGGACAGTGCTTCCTTGCTGGAGGACTCAAATTCATACACATAGGAGGCCTGAGGGAAATGGAAGAGCACTCTTACACAAACACCTGAGTAATAATTACCGTGGGCAAGAACCGGCAGTTCATGCTCCAGATGGTGGACAAAAGTCTGGTTTAAAAAAAAAAAAAAGCAGGATCTCTGCATAACCGCGAAGCACCATTCTGCAAGACTCTCACTGAGCACAAAGGAAAAGTCAGCTAACTTCACAGTGAAGATACCTATCTGAGATATCAAAGGTAACAAACACTAAAGATGGGATAGGTATTGTGGCCTAGTAGCTGCCTGTGGCAATGCTTGCATCCCACGCATCCAGGTTGCTGTGTTTCTGATCCAGCTCACTGCTAACGTGCTTTGGAAGCAGTGTAACACGGCCCGAGTGCTTAGGCCCCTGCACCCTCATGAGTGACCCGAATGAAGCTCCTGGCTTCTTCCTGGTCCAACCACAATTGTGGTTATTTGGGGAGTGAACCAGTGGTAGATTTCTTTCTATCTATCCCTCTCTTTCTGTAACTCTGCCTCTCAAATAAATCTTGAAAACAAAACAACAACAACAACAAAAAAAACCAACAAACAATAAAGACCAGGGGCCATCACACTCCTTTTTCTGATGCACTGAGAAAGCTACAACAATATATCTGCAGTGTTCTGAGGGAAAAATACATTTTCACTCAAATGAAAAGCAAATACAAGCTTGAGAAGAATTCAAAAGTTTTGTGGAAAATGGAATTAAGAAGTGAGTTTGCTTTTCCAAAAACTTTCAGAAGAACCCTGGAATTAGGACAAACTCACAGTGACATTTTAAAAAGTTTGCATCCAGTTCTCTGCACAATTGTCCGGGTTCTGAGAGACAAAGACTGGGGGGCTGCACGGAGTGGGGAGCTGAGGAAACCTAAGCACAACTGGTATTCCAGTTTGGGCCAAGATCAAAAAATGGACGGGAATGGGGAAACTGACACTATTCAAATAGGGCCTCTAGAACAATGAACAATATTATATGTATTAATTTCCTGTAGTACTTTTCTAAGTTTTCTGTAACTCTAAATTTATTGGGGTTTTTTGACACAATATTTCCAGGTGTGACATCTTGCTGTTTGAACCCCATTGTGAAGAATGTGATTCATGTTGGCTAGTTATTACAATTTCTACAGCAAGAGATTATCAAATGCTGTCAAATTCAGAATCACCAAAGCTAGTTCTTATAACAAGAAGCCGGTGAATGAAAACCAGACTGGCTAAAACTCACATGGTACACAGTCCACAAACTATACCCACTTGCTACATGGTTTCAGGAGCCAGAAAAAAAAGGCATGAACTTGTGACCATAAAGCACTGGCCCACAACACAAACAAAATCACTTTAAACACAAAATATCAAGAGTTACATAAAACCAACTTAACGTGAAGAGATCATGACTTGACGAATTTCATGGTATTTGATTTTTATGAATCTTGTTAGGACAGTTTATCATTAGGGAAAGGCTGACTGGTGCTGAAAAATTCACAGAATTAGCTCTCATACATACCCAGATTTCAAGTCAGTTATCCTCAAACAGTTTGTAGCATCCAATCCCACTTTTCCATTCCGTACCACACTGGATATGAATGGGGAGAGCATTGGAGAAATACGGTTCAAGGCCACTTCTGGGGACATTTCAACTCAGCTTGCCAATCACCACTGAAAATAAAGGGGAAAAAAATTGGTCCTCAGAGTTTACAAAGGAACCAGGTATAGCAACCTCCCACAGACTGCACAGCACTCAGCATTTTCCATCACTTTCCCTCCGCAGAGCAACTACTCTCAATGAATCTCCAGGAGGACCAACTCCCAGTGCTCTGCCATTGGTACAGGGACTATACCACTGATCTGGAACAAAAGAAACCTTTACAATACAAATATCTCCTTTCCAACGCTCATTTCCTTACTGTCACCCCACTGGAATCAACTGGCTTACCCAACCCTCTTCCATAACACACACACACACACTCCACTGGGAATCCTCTATATCCCCACAAAAGGTAGGAATTTGACTAATAATTCCATCTGAAACTCTAGGACAAGTGTAATTATTTGTAATCATTATTTACTAGGAATTAGGTATGGCTGATAAACGTCCCTTGAAAACTGACCCCTACAATGTATTCAACTATCTGCCTATGTGCTTCTCTCCCCCTGCAAGAATTTTATCTTGCTCGCTAGTATTTACCAAAAGTATCTACTACATACTAAGCATTCAATACACACTTTTAAAAAATGACTGGATAAAGGGACAAAAGCTAGAGAAATATTTAAGTAGGGAGAGAAGATAAAATCTCTCAAATAATCTGGTAAAGGGAACAGATATGGAACAATTTGAAAAACAAATACAGCAAATTCTACTGAATGAAGTAACAAAAACATACACCCATTCAGATATTAAGCAACACACAGTAAAGGAATCCGTACACATAAAAATACAGAAGTAAAACTAACAAATCATATCTCAATTACATGGAAATTTGGGGGGCTAAGTGAAGGAGCACATGAATTCCTCTGAATAGATTTCTGAATGAAAGCCTCTACTTTCAGAGGTGAATAAGTCAATTCAAACGAACATTTTCTTCCTCAATCTGAAAGGCTAATCCCACATCAAAAGCAAAGTAATTTCCAGCAAATTACAAGTAACTGATGTTCTGGGTCTAGTTTGCACATATTAAAATACACTTTGCAAGTTCCTGCTAAAACAAATGTAAAAACTAGACCTGGTTTGAATTTCTGTTTTCTGGGAGTAACAAAGGATTGAAGTCAGCACTCAAAAAGGAGTAAAACTGCGACCCTATAAAGTGATGACACCCAGGAAGTACCTGAGGCAGAAAAAGCTTTCTACTTTATTTTTCAGGAAATATCAAACAAGCTCAACTTCCAATACCTTAACACATCTTTTCTCATCACCATTCTAAAGCATCATCTCAAGGAGCCAACATCAAGTGCACTCTGCCATAAATCATCAAAGTCACATTTTGTAACACTTCCTCAATTATAAAGAGCTTCCACACACATTGCGGTTGATATTCACAACGAGGGTATAAAGCAAGTGCTTTAATTCACATCTTGCTGATGATATAGGTAACTGTTATACCTTGTCTTTGAGCAGTATACTAACCCATGTTCCCATTTTGAAACCTATTTTTTTCTTCTATTCTGCAACATTTCCACTCTCATGTCTACGTGCTGATGTCACAGTTCTTGAGGTGATGCTTATCTAGACCACAAGCAAAAAACACAAAAATATCCATCTTGGAAAAAACAAAAGATCTCATCTACATGACCAAATTATTCTTCTAGGGTTTTTTCCCCCCCTTAGTCCTTTTATTTTGACCTCTCATTTCCACAAAAAAAGGAAACAGAAATACATTCTGAACATCTACTTATTAATGGCACTATATTTACCACTCAACTGTTCATTTCCCACCCCAATAACCCAGATCCCTGGTTAATGTTATCATTCTAAATTGACAGGTAAGAAAACTGCAGCTGAGCAACACAGAATAATATTCAAAGCCACAAGCCAACAGCATCAGAAACCACGTCCACTGTACCCATCTTCCTACCAAATACACCTGACAACTGCAAGCACCAAACAGAAAAGCATCCAAATGATTTAAAAGAGATTGTAAAATATAAACAGACAAGGCATGAATTCAAATGAACGAGGGCTTCCCAACTAGACACAAACTAGACCGGCTGTCGGCCTTCTGTGGCACCCACCGAATAGTCAAGAGTACAGAAAGAAACCGTTCCACGAGACAATGGCCCTCTCCTATTCAGCCACTGACTTAGGTGTGGTTTGGGGGCCACAGCTAAAAGGAAGAATCTGTCTTGATTTCCAGAACAGCCATATGTGATGTTTCAGCAGTGCCAAGATTTCAGGACACATTCAAATGTTTGAACCACAGGGAAACGTGATTTTTTAAGAATAAAGCTACATCCACCCCCAAATCAGAGATCTCTGAATAACAAACAAGATGGCCTTTTGTTGTGATGAGCTGAGGACAGGGAGGCAGAGCACACTCCTTTTTTTTTTTTTAACACTACCACAAACCTCAAATAGGTTTCAAAAAAAATTATGGTGGTGACCAGGCTCCCTCGCACGCTCTTAGATTTGTATTTCCTAATGGTGATGTGTTGCTGAAGAAAATGTAAAAACGCGATTTTTATCACGTGTCCACTGCCCCAAGCGAGGAGCATGTAAGGTCAACTGATGGGCGGCTCGGGGACTACAAAGACGTCTAAAGCCCAATCCAGCCTCTCGCAATTAAGACAGGATGACAAACACGGAAACATGTGCCCCCGCTGACGTCATGGAACGGAAAGGGGTGGCGTCCTGCTGCGTCACGTCAACGTCACGCAGCGCACGAGGGAAGTTACACAAGGGACGCAATTTTTCCAGGGGACAACATTCAAAGAAAAACCTGCCAGCTCAGACCTAAAGAATGCCCACCCCTTGCTAGGAGTCGTCTATTATAAGGGGACATTTTCCGTCTCCCAAATTGTATGCTTTCCCTCATCGAACTAGAAAGCAGGGAGAGAGGAATTAATCCCGCGGGCTGAATCAGGGTCCAGGCGGGGGAGTTAGGCGAACTAGATATGAAGAAAGAGGAGGAAGCCTCTGGCCTGGGTGGCTCGTTCGTGAGGGGACCGGCACGACCGGGCTGAGGGGGATATCTGTGGAAGCGGGCCTTCTCAGGAGGAAGAGGGGGCGAGTCCGCTGGCCATATTTAAACCATGACTCAGCGCCACCTGTGCGACTCGGGATCCAACCTCCCCGCACCAGCCCCAGTCCAGGTACCTGGAACTTAACAGTCCGATGGGTAACCGGCGACTACGTGAGGTACAGGTTACCCGAGCGCGCCCCCGACCGACGCATCGACCTGCGCGCGCACCGCGGGCCGGATGCGTGCGCGCCCCTAGGACGTCCTGCCCCGCCCCCTCGGCGGCCCAGAAGCCGGGCGGCGTGCGCGTCCCCGCGCCGGTCGCTGCGGAAGGCGTCCCCGCCGTGCCTGAAAGTCCCGCCTCTGGCGTCAGTCTCTCGGGTTGGCGCGCGCCTCAGAGTCTCGCAGTAGCCGTCCAGAGGGGCCTCCGTACCGGGAAAGAGCGGGGAAAACATTTCCTTAGAGGATAAGGGGACAAATGGTGGGCAGGGTTAGGTCGGGCATCGGAGTGGGCAACCCGCCCCGGCCTCTGGGAGGCCCACGAGAGGGGCGTCAGGGGGCTGGAGCGGCGAGGCAGGGCGAAGGTCAGAGGGGAAAGATCAGTGTCCCCACTGCACCTTTAGCCATGGCGTCGTGTGGGGATCCCGGGCGTCAGTGTCAGGAGGAGGCGGCCGCGGTGGTAGTGGTGGGCTCGTGCATGACCGACCTGGTCAGGTTAGTGCGGGGGCTCGCGGGAGGGGGCGGACCGCGCTGTGGGCACTGCCGCTTCGGGGAATAGACTGGTAGCTGCGAGCTTCCGTGCCTTGCACGTGCGAGGGGCAGAGTTGGCGACCTTGAATGTCAGGGAGGAGGACGTGGAGGTCAGGTTCTAGATGGGCAGCTGCGCCCTCGGGCTCCCTAAGGCCGAGTCTGTTCCTCCGCAGGGTTGTTTGGGGGCTGGATGATGACTTGTCCACTGCACAGTGACCCAGGCCGCTGTTAATGCTGTGAGCTGGTGTAAAATACAAGAGGTGACAGGGCTGAGCCCTTGCCTCTCACCGTACTGGCCGCTGGCACTTCTGCAGTGTTTTTTTAAATATTTATTTTTTATTACAAAGTCAGATATACAGAGAGGAGGAGAGACAGAGAGGAAGATCTTCCATCTGATGATTCATTCCCCAAGTGACCACAATGGCCGGTGCTGTGCCAATCTTGGGTGCAGGGTCCCAAGGCTCTGGGCCGTCTTCGACTGCTTTCCCAGCCACAAGCAGGGAGCTGAATGGGAAGTGAAACAGCTGATTTTAGAACCGGCGCCCATATGGGATCCCAGTGCATTGAAGGCAAGGACTTCAGCTGCTAGGCCACCGCACCGGGCCCTCTGCAGTATTTTTATGGCAGCTTACTTTTCAGTAGTACAATGACTGTCTTATAGCAAGCCGTGGAAGTCCAAATAAAAACCCATAAACACTGTATAATCTTTAGTAAGCTATGGTTCTTTTTGTGCACCTTTTTTTTTAATAGTAAAAAAGTACTCATTAAAGGGAAAAAATCAGATATACCAAGCAAATCCTACCTATCCAGTAGTTTCTTTCATGTATTGGTGGACGGTCTCATCCATACTGCCTTTCCACATTAACAAATGGTGGCTGCAGGTGCAGTGCAGTCCGTTAAGCTGCTGCTTTTGCCGCCAGCCTGCTGTGTGAGTTCAGCTGCCTGCTTCTCCACCAGGGAGGATGACACAGGAACACGGGCTCCTGGCTTCCGCCTGCTCTGATCCCAGTTCTTCTGAAACAGGCAGATAGATGGAAGCTTGCTCTTGGTCATTCCACCCTTGAAACGGATGTGGTTAATACAGCAAGGGCTCATCTCTCAGAATCTGGCTTTGCCGTAGAGCCTAGAAATATCCATAAAGGTCTTGAGGGTCAAAGAGGGAAATCAAAAGTGACCAAATCCATCAAGAAACCACTTGTTCCTACTCAAAAAATAGTCCTGGAAGCTTTAGGATTATTTTTAGTCCTGTTTTATCTGACCTGCTTAAAAATGTTTATGTGACCAACTTTCCAAGGCTAGAGAGGCTGTGAGGGGCAGGCCTGGGGTGGGAGGGCGCCGGAGAACATCTCTGCAGGCTCTGGAGGCGCTGCGGGGCAAGCATAAGCCCCCAGGTGGACCCCTCTCCCAGCGGGAGCACCACATCCAGCCCCACCGGGACTTTCCGGAAGAAGCCAGGGCAGGAGTCAGCACACCTTTCCCTTAAGCATTGACTAAAATGTTGGATGGTTTAGGCTTTACATGGTCAGGATCACATCCTTTTTTTAAACAATCTTCAAAATGTAAAAGTCCTTGTCATCACCCAGGTCTTGGGGGGCGGGGGAGAAGTGCTTATTATGCACAGGTTACAGGTTTTAAAGGGTAAGGAAGGGGAGGGCAGACCTCACACCCTCTAAAGATGTTGCAATTGGCTGTAGGACAGGTCTGTTTCCCTAGATCTTCCGGTCATGTCAGAGGTCATGTTCCAGATGTACTCCCATTAACCTTGCAGCCATGTTGGAGGTCACGCTCCATGTGTAGTCCTGGAAGCTGTGCTTCAAGCCATGGGGAAGGTTAGGCTTAAGCCACACCTTCCAGGCTACTGGGCAGGGGTCGCCCACAAGGGTTGGGGGACCAGGTTCCAGAAGCTTCAACCCCACTGACAGTGGCAGCCAGCGAAGTGGAACCTACCTAACCAGTAAGCTTCCTTGGCTTGTGATAAGCGGAGAAACCTTCAAGGGGCCGCTTCTATAGGCCGGGTGGTTCCTGTGATTCACGGAGCAGCTGGAGTGTCAGCAAGAGCAGGAACTGGAAGAAGACTCCTTGCTGGTTTTTTTTTCCTCCAGTGGTCCCTCATTCCTTAGTCTCCATGTCCTTCTCAAAGCCGTGGCGGGGCCTGCCGTGCTGTGGTTGGGGGAAGGCTCTCTCTCAGGCAGCACCTGCCTCCTCCCACCCCTGTCCACAGCTGTTGTAGTGGCCTCCCCTGCATGCCTGTGGCCACTAGCACCACCTCCCTGTCCATGCTTCTTGTTTCCTGGGTGTTGAGCGTGGGGCGTTTCAGGCATGGGGGGACCTGATAAACAAACAGGACAGGCAAAATACAAGTAAGATTTTAACAGTGAATGCTGTCATGAGACTTTAGCGGAAGCCATCACGCCTAGTCATGGAATATCAAAAAAATTCAAAAGAAAAAGTGGCAAACTGGAAGGAATCAAAGTTCTCATATCTCTGTTTAAGTCTAGAACATGGTTTTCAACACTCTTATATAAAGGACTCATACACATTGGCCTGTTACATCTACTGACCACTCAATATGACAGTCCAAATTGAGAGAATACCGATTGCCAAAAGGAAATGCATAGTGTGGTTCAAAAACTGTAGCGATGCAGTCAGAGAGCAGAGAGCTGAATTAAAAGTTAGGGTCGGGCCTGGTGGCGTGGCCTAGTGGCTAAAGTCCTCGCCTTGAATACACCGGGATCCCATATGGGCGCCAGTTCTAATCCCAGCTGCTCCACTTCCATCCAATTCCCTGTGTAGCCTGGGAAAGCAGTGGAGGACGGCCCAAAGCCTTGGGATCCTGCACCTGTGTGGGAGACCTGGAGGGAGTTCCTGGCTCCTGGCTTTGGATCAGCACAGCACTGGCCATTGCGGTCACTTGGGGAGTGAATTACCGGATGGAAGATCTTCCTTTCTGTCTCTCTTCCTCTCTGTATATCTGACTTTGCAATAAACATAAATAAATCTTTAAAAAAAAAGGTAGGGTCACCCCATCACAACCATGTGTTATTGATGAGCCAGTACTTCACTTGAATTGCTTTCTCCCTAGAATGGTGGTAGTGACAACATCTACCCTAAGCCATTGTAAAAAGATATTGTTAAGCTCAAACAATATAATCAGTTCTTGACTGTTCATGTTGATAGGAATGTGAAAGAAGCATGCTCACCAACAAAACAAAAATAGTAGATAAATTAGAATTTAATAATTGATTCCAGAATACATTATTTTTAACGCTGATTTATCCTTCTAATTATATTTTGCTTAGAATAAAATTAAAATTGAGCTTTATTTCTTTAAATTACACCAGCAGATGGCAGGAAAATGTAGCCCAGATAATTATAATGTGACAGAAGTCATTTTGGAATTAAAAATTTACTATAATTAATTGGCAAGCTAGAAAATATGTAACACTGGTTTTGTAGGTGTTTGTCACAACCATTTTTGTTATTAAATATATTCATACTTTTCTTATTTTTCATTGAATTTGTTATGCATCAAAACTGTCACAGATATTTTCACCTCACCAGTCCCCTTTCTATCTGTGTGCTGAATTTCCCATAGTCCAGCACCCTCACCTTTTTGCCATTTGAAGATTGTCCAATCCCCGCTTCCTAAATTTCCCAAGTGAACCCAACATTTTGTCTCCTCTCTTTCAGATTATAGTTCCAAAACTGACTCATTCCATACTTGCCTAGCCAAGCCTCTAATTTCTGTTTTGCAGTATTTATTCTAAAATGATTTTTGACGTTAAGTGATACTTATTTTAACTATACTTTTAATATTTTGAGCTATCTGCCTTTCCTTGTGCCTTATATATGCACTGTTACTCTTCTCTGCCATAGTAGAAGACAAAAACGACGTACTCCTTTTGGTTCCCATTGCTCTGGCCACATTCCTGTGCCAAGGCTGTAGGTATTCTCGTCCCCTCACCACCATTCCTGCTGAAAAATTTAGTAATAACTAGTTCACTTTTTTCTTGGGCGACAGTACTTCTGCTCTGTTCTCCCCCTGTGTATTATGAGATCTGCCATTTGAAAGGCAGAGACAGAGATATGCTATCTACTAATTCATTCTTCAAATGCTCCCAACAGTGAGGACTGGGCCAGGCCAAAGCCAGGAGCGGTGAGCTCAGTGTAGGTCTCTCACATGGAGGTCAGGGACTCTATTAATTTGAGCCATCACCACTGCCTCCCAGAATGCACATGAGCAGGAAGTGGAATCAGGAGCAGAACTGGGACTCAACCCCAGGCACCCTAGCATGGGACAGGTACCTCATAATGTGTCTTAATCTGCCAAATGCCCACACTGCAACTGTGTATATGTTGGTAAGATGATTCAAAAATGTTTCCTTCTGACCAAGCTGGCGTAACTAGTATCATATTTGCCCTCCCACTATAAACAGCTAGGAAAGTGGATACAACATAGCAGTGTTAAACAGAGGAGAAAGGAAACAA